TCGCCCCCCCCCCCCCCCTCCGCTTGTTCTGGTTGTGTGCACCATTGTCTGTCTTGAGACGTTTGTTGGCGTTCGTGGAGCTATCCTCCACTTGCGTGTTCGTCTGTGCGTTGTTGCGCCTATTTGCAGCTCGCTCCTGGTCTCTCAACATACGATCTCCTTGTGTCACAGACGCCGTTTTTATGTGTGTCTCAGTCATAGTTTGAAACTTGGTATGTTCTATGTCAGACAGGTGTCCTTCACTTCCATCAGGTTGCTTGTCTCCTTTGGTTAGGAGATCCACTACTGATTGTAGTCCAGAGTACTTAAGTGCTAGATACCTTTGTACTTTGAGGATTTGGAAGTGTACGGGTTCCTTGTCTGAGTTGCGGTAACGCTCCTCTATCATCGATATTGTCTTGTGGATACGCTCTGTGCGCAATTCGACGTTCATCTTCTTATTCTGCATTTCATTGAGAAACTTCTCCAATAGATAGTCTACTGGGTGTGATCTGAGTCGATCAATAATGATTCTATTGAACTGCTCAGGATCAGTGAAATGCCTAGTCGTTTGTGCCTCACAGTCTCTTTATGTTATTGAGTACTGCTTTTGGTTTTCTCCGTTGCATCAGTGGAATCTAATAGTCTTCTCACGAGCGCTGGATACTGACACAATGGCATTGACGTAGCTAAGAATATTCACTACATTGTGTAATGAACTCTATGATGTCTTCACAGTTTTCCAATCTAAAGAAACTATCCTTAGGCATCTTGGGAAATTCTGAAGTCTTGAGTAATTTCTTAAGAGATGGTTCGTTTCGGTTCGTTTATCTGATCGCCTAAACGTGAACGCATGAGCTCTAGCTCACTAATGTAGAGACTGATTTGGATAAGTTTGTCTTCCTCATCATCACCGCAATCGTTGATCGCTTGGTCATATCGTCGTCTGAGCTCCGCATCCACTGGTGGCATGCGACGCTCTGGCTGTTGATCATGTATGCCTACCCGCATCTTGTGCAGTGTTGGTATGGGCCCCGGTGCTGTTTGTTCCAATTTGGACACAAACCGACTCACCAGAACATGATTGCCTTGACAGATACTCTTGACTATTTCTAGACGCATTGCTGACATTGCGATGGGTACCCCCGCCGGTGTAGGCTGACCCGAACTACTGCCTGGGCTTGCCTCCCCCATTGGGCTGACTCCCACGTCACCCGCGCCTTCACTACCCCCC